AGGAATCGGCCAAGAAACTTTGCTGTACTCCGAAAATCTACAATACGTGCTGTAACCGATTCAATTCAGTTTGTAAACTTATTTTATTTGTTTATTTGATTGAAACGAGGGAATTTTCGATTTTTCTCCTATAGGAAAATCACAGCAATATTTGCTGTAAGCTTATTAGAAGAGAGAAAAAAAAGAATTCTTCCAATTACAAAATTTTCCTCAGAAGTCTCGATAGAATTGAAAAAAATCCTCCCACATCAGATGGTATCTGCTCTAATATTTGTATTTTATATATTCATAGACTTTCTGCTAATATATGCGTTGAAGACAATTGTTAATAAGACAACTTGTACTCGAAATGAAAGAAACAAACAAACAAAATGAATTTATGATAAACAAATACAAATTTATAGAAAAGTAATATTTTCACTTATTGCCTAATCGTTTCCGTTCCACATCATTTAAGATTATATTATCAATTATAAATGACTACAGTCCCTTTTCTCTCTCAAGAGATTTCTCCCGCCTCTTTTTGTTAAGCTGTCGTAATATTTCTCTTTAGCAGTTAAAGAGGTTAAAGTTTAATTCGTTAAGTCGTAAAATATAAAATAACATACACACAAACCCTACAAACACGAATAGAGAGATATGTATAAATAAAAATGTAGAATATATACTGTATATATGTACAATCTACTGAACATGTCGGATATACTATATACTATATATATATATATATATATATATATATATATAAATATACAGCAGATCTATGTATAATACTGTTTACAATAAGAAATTAATGGTAATGAATCTGTACAAGATATACAACAAAACCCTCTTCAAACATTTCTTCAATATTAGATATTATATGTATATATTATCAATTCTTAATTTAATGTAATAAGTAACACAAATGCGTATTATGTAATTGAGATTAGAACAATGTGATTTAGACATATAGATAAGGATAAAGAGGGGGAAAGAGAGAGAGAGGGAGAGAGAGGGAAAGGGAGGGAGACAGAGAATGAAAGTCAGGAATAAAGAAAAAAAATTTAAGAACCCGTAAACCAGATGTTTTCTTTTTTTCTATAATAAATTCAATGTGTATAATTAACAAGAAACGGAACATTATTTTGTTGTTGTTATTGTTTTTATTAAAAAAATACGCATTAGGAAAAGAGAGAGAGAGAGAGAGAAGAGAAATCAAAAATTAAAATGCATACATACACGCACTTACACATACACACTGTTAATTAGGAAATAAATTAAATACAAAGCGTAATAGATCGCCGGAATAAAACCTAACAAACCTATTTATAATTCATCTCTATCTATAAAGAGCAATTGTTTAATAAAGTTTGTCAAATAGATTTAAAAAACAATGAAAAGAAAAGATAAAAAACTGAAAAAAAGAGATTTACCTGACAAACTACAAACAAGAAGAAATTTTGAACAGCAGTTATTATACTTACAAAGATATCAGAGTTTACTTTTCAATGAACTCTGTGTGTTTTCTTTTTTCTAGTTGTATATTGCTAGTTTCCAAATGTAAAAAATTATTTATACTGTCTGCTTATTTTAGCCTCTAGATAAGATATATCAACGGCAGATGCGTAGGGGGCGCTTAAGTCTAATAAAAATTCATAATTTCGTCTCTAAATATCAAATATATAATACACGGAATAAATTAATTATCATAATAATAAAGGGCAATACAATATAAATATATATAATAAATATATTGCATATACAGTAGTCGCTATATTGGTGTATAGTACACATCAAATATATACAGTATATATCTATATATATATATATACATATATGTAAACGGCAGCTCCACTACAAATGCATTATGATGTGTAGTTTATCAACTTGAATATACAGTATAATTGGATATTTTATATACTCTGGATAAAAGTTGAAACGTCACGATAAAGAAAACAATCTGTACGTTTCAATCTTATGTGTTTAAGTATTGTTGTCCTATATAATTCAAAATTGAGAAATAATAATTAACAATACATCACATTTGTTCAAACAGACATGTAATGTAAACAAGTGGGGTTTTTTTTTCCAATAATAAGTAAGATTGATTCTTTTTCTTCTATCTTTTTCAACCCTTTACTGAGTTTATGTAATCACAAATCTTTGTATAAATCAATTATTGTCAGAAAAAAAAGACTCTTTAATTAAACAGATGTATAAGCTTTCTTTATCATATGAAATCCTTTAAGTATTCTCTTGAATGTTAAACTCTTTCATTAATGCTCTAATATGTCCACTGAATTGCAAAATGATGACAAATATTAACTTTTGAAAGGTCAGTCAACCATTGATCTACTAGCCGGCATTATAAGGTGGTCGAAAGACAAAGCAGAAAAGAAGAGGAGGAGGAGGAAGAAGAGAGTGAGACAATCTTTGTGAAATGAAACGAAAAAAGATAGGAGATAGCTCGGTAATAATAATAGTAATGCTAGAATGAAGAAGATAAAAAGATACTCGAGTATATAAGATTAATCTCTTGTTATGTTTTGAAATGGGATATGTCTAATATATATATCTACATATATAAGTTTATACCGAATATAAGAAGTTTTTCGTTAACATAATCACTAGAAAGACCACTTACTATTCATTTGCTGAAGTAGGTCAGGATTTAATAAATTACAACATACATTTAAACCGTATAAACAATTAATAGAATAAGAATCTAAATATCACAAAATGCAAAATAAAGGAAAAAGAGAAAAATGACAAAAGCCTATAGTTTAAATATTCATTCGTTACCTCTATAAATTGTTCTTGCTATTCCTTCTAACGACCTTTTACCGTCTGAATGTCTCTTTCTATAAGAGTATAATACTCTTATAATATATGTTTATGAATATTTGACTTTTTTTCCGTCTTTTCTCCTCTATCTTTGCTCTCTTCTTTTTATATTTCCTTCTCTACTTCGTTTCAACCATGCAGTATGTATTAATACTTTATATATATATATAGAGAGAGAGAGATAGATAGATACATACATACATACATATATGTGAGAACTTTACACTATTCACTATGAAACAATAATTACCAATTGTTTAAAATGAAACAATATGGTTTGAAAACCAATATATGCGTATATTGTTATATCCATTGGTTTGTCCAATATATTGTTATACTATAAATTAGTATTTTGTAAATATTTTCACACAAGCAAAACTGAAAGAATTAAAAAGTGAAAAAAGTTTACTATCTGTTAAAAAATTCCCTATTTCTTCTCTAAATTACACTTTTTCTACATTTATACTATACAAAGAAATATACGATTATGTTATACTACCACTCGTAAATCAGATATTCATCTATTCAGCTATTTACTCAATAGATTATTAAACGGTGAGGTAGACAATGTTTTTATCATTTAACTACTTTATTATTACTAATTTATAATAGATAAAGAAATATTTTATTACGATCAACCGGAAGTAATTGTGAATGGAAACAACTTCCCCATAAATACAAAAAAAAAATAGCTGAATAAAAATTTACAACTGTGACGTGGAAAGGAAAAACGTTTCCATGGCGATGATAGCGTAAATGATAAACGCATCCCAAAGCAGTAAAGATAAATGGTTAGAGAGAGAGAGAGAGAGAGAGAGAGAGAGGGAAAGAGAGTGAAAAGTAGCAAAAAAGTAAAAAGAAAAGCAAAGGCGACTTCTTAAAAGTAGTAAATGGATTAAGATATTAAACTATAGTTTTTGGGAAAGTCTCCTTCTCAATAGAATAAAAACAAGAAATTTGATATAAATTCTATAGAATAAAAATATATCTCGTTAACAAAACTTTCAACAAACTTCTCTTGGCTATTGTTTGTTTGTTTTTACAACATTGCCGACTATGTCAATATTAAAGGAATTAAAAGGAAATTGCTCTTCACTCTTCCCCTCATGATCTAACTAAACTAACCTATATTCCAGCTTTTCTCTTGTTCTTAGTGGAATACTAAATTTATTTCACTGCTTTAACTTATTAATTGCTGTGATGTTTTTAGCTTTCTTCTATTATCTGCCCACGACCACTTCTCCCTTCTGTCTTTCTTTCATTCCTCAAAGAAATGCTGTATAACTCTTCAGTGCAATTTTTCAATTATTAACTTTTCCTTTATTACCGTTAAATGTATGCTAATAATTCATAAAGTATATATTTTTGGCCTATTCCCTTACAACTTATTCCTAGAAAAGGTAATGAGATTAATTTTTGCATTTCCGATTAAATACTCAAGTAGATGGCGTTAGTGTTTAGTCTTATGTAAGTTTGTTCGTGGAATCTTATTATAAGAAATTTATTTATAGTAAAGAAAGGGTTTGATCGAGGGAGGGAGGGATGGATGGATGGATGGAAAGAAGGAGGAAGAGCGATAGAGGAGAGGTAGGAGGACTGAGCCAGAGACAGAGAGAGAGAGAGAGAGCGAAGAGGGAATAACTAAGGGGGGTTTGATTTAATTTGTTTCTAGGCGTTGATAAATTGTCAGAAATTATTAGCGCTCCTTTAGCATTAAGGTGAAAGATACGATTGGTAGATTGTGTTAGTTTGGTAAAAATCGGACAAATAATTCTAAACGATGATAAAAATAGGAAAATCTACTAGCAATTGAATAATCTTCTTAAACTTCACAGAAAAAAGTTTGCATGCTATAGAAAAAATTGATTATTCTCTTTTCCTATTTTAATGGAGAAATACACAAATAAGGGAGAATTATGAAGAGAAAGAGAGAGAGAGAGAGAGAAAAACATAAACACAAAAATGCGCTTGTTTTGAATAAGAATAAATAATAAGGAACGATTACTTCTTCTTAAATGGTTTTTAGTATGATAAAATTGAATGTATTAAATTATTTTATCCGATCTACGGTTGACTAATTAATCACTACTTCAAGCTATAAAAAATATTACAAAAAATGTCTCTAATATTCTTTCTTTCGTCTCAAATTAATCTAATTTTAATTATTATCCGAATCAAGGACCCATAGCTTTGACAATATCAGCTTCATCCAAAATCTCTTGGGCAGTGTAACGATTTAGTTCGTCGTAGTTTGGGTCGAGTGTAAACCACATAGCAACGGCACACCGACGTCCTTTCGTTACAGGTAAGACGCCGTGATAATGACCAGCATTAAAGCCGACAAGTCTTCCACACTGCGGTTCAAGTAAGGCTTGCGTGGTAAAATTTTGATTAGCGAACAAAAATTTGCCTCCTTCGAAATCGCCATTGAGATACAAGATGGCGCTGTATGAAAAAAAATATACATTTTAGAAACAATGAGACAACTGTTTACAATAAAGAGGTGTGTAGACTAGAGAATTTGTATCATGTACAGTATATACAGTATATATATATACTAATATAATATATATATATCTATATCTATATATAGTACACAACATACTCTTATATAGTATAATTGTATAAAATTAGTAAATGGTAAAATTCGTTTTATAAAGGATGCCAAGTAGGAAATGTGCTGACCAATCAACCGATAAATATATCCTTTATTAACTTATAACGCCGAGTATTATTTAGTTAGAGTTTTCAAGCACAGGAGGAATTATTTGCAAAAATCACGCATGCGTATTCAAAAGAAGCTGATCCGTCAACTGATCAAAGAAATTTGAGCGGTAGCTTTTATGAACTGTTCACGCTTCTACATTGAGAACTCTATCGCTTCCGAAAACCACTTCGCGCAATAATCAGATTACACTCAAGACGGAAAAACCCTACCTATAATCCCTTTGAACGTAAGCCGGCCTTGTTCTAATACAAGTCTTATCTTTCTGCATAACGCAATTATCGGCGTGTATAGGGTGACTTAAATCTTGGCGGTTATTTTGTGCACCTGGATAGTATTAGATAATAATCATTTTCATTCAAAAGAAAAAGATGTTATGTCTAAACAATTCCAACCTTCAATAGCCTCTCTACAAACCAAATGCGTATAATCAAAATAAATTTGTTTCTTTCCGTTTGTAAAGTAACTTTCAGCTATTTGTCGGCTTCTTTCACTCTTTCGAAGGTAAGTTGTAACCGCCTCCTTCAACGCCTTTTTCTCTTTCACCAACTGTTTAAGTAAAACAAAAAAAAAAAATACTTGTATATATCAATGAAATTATTATAACTCAAATAAATGACATTTCAAGAGCAGATAGACAATTTTTCAAATGCAATTAATTTGCCTCGCGGGAGCATCAACTCCAGTATAAAACCATAAAAACAAGAAAACTAATCTCATCCCATATTCTTGTTGCTAAGCAACAAATGTTTTTGTAACTAGAAACAAAAACAGATTAGCCAAAGAGGAAGAAGAATTTTACAGATAAAATATGATTAAGAGAGGAAAATATTCTAAAATTTTTACATTATTACTATTTGTTATTATTGTTATTGCCATAGTTTAATTTTACTTTCTTTCCCTTTCCCTCTCTATCTGTCTGTCTGTCTCTCTCTCTCTCTCTCGCTCTCTCCCTCCCTCCCTCCCTTTTTCCTTTCACCTTCCCAAATCTATTAGTAAAGTAAACATTTTAGAGACATTGTACAATTGGGGGTTTATCCCGCTATTATTAATTGTTTTGGGCCCAGAAATCCGATATGGGAAGAAGGGATAAGGGAAAAAAAGGGGTCATAATTAAAAAAAAAATACATTAAGCTTATAGTAATCTTGACGTTGATCATACTTACGCAATTAAGGTTGCTATTTTGTTTATATCTTTTTTTTGGCCTCTTTTTTATGTTTTTTATTGTCAACAGTTTGGGCGAAGATTAAAGATCTATTCTATTGAAGGTTGTAATGTTATATTAGTAGAGGAATAGGAGGAGAAACGTTGAAATGTTGATAAATAGAAGACAGTTTGAAATTTCTCAACATAAAATGAAAATAAAATATTAAACAAGTTAGAATGTTAGTTTCTTTATAAAGAAAGTATAAACCAGTTCGTTAGATCAAAGTAGAAACATAATTAACTCACTTCCGCCGCCCTTTTAGGGGTCATTCCAGCGAAAAATTCACTATTTGTATGTGGAGATGTTCGCGACTCCATTCCTGGATAACCGTCACCAACGAGCGAGCCGGTCTAAAAGAAACGCCATACAATAAGGTCTATTGTTCAATTTGTATAAGAAATATACGAAAAATCTTACGTCTGCTAAATCAATTAAAAGTTTACAAGTATCTTCATCTAGCACATTATCAACAACGAATCTATCGGTTCCGTTCAAGTCGTCTTCCCTCTTAAATACTTCCAAGTGGTCTTCTTGAACAATTTTCAAGAAATTTTCCTTCTCCTCCATATTCTCCATTTTCCGAACGGAATTAAATAGCGAAAGAGAGTTTTGAATTGTTTGATGTATTGAACGGCGATTGAAAGAAAATTCCATTTTGATAAAGTACCTATTGCTATTTTGAATAGGGGATACTCTGTGACCTAATTTTTGAACTATCATTCGTCCGCAATTAGGCTTAACAAGACCTTCAACTTCGCTTTCCGATTCGAGGAACAGTGAAGCTCTACAAAGTAAAAAATCAATCTAATCAATTCTTGTACTTATTCATTGAATTTCACTATATATAGATATATTGGAAATTGATATTGGCTAATATCCACTACACGAATAAAAGAAAAGATAGAGGAAAGATTAGGGTTAAGAAGAAATAAAGAATGGTTCTGGTTAGGGTTGAAATGTTCAATTAGGTCAATTTAATTCAATAAAATTGGTCTTTTGGGTAAAATGGAATTGACTTTTAACCATAAAAAAAAAGGTTTAGGTCAGGAAAGGAAGTATCTTATTAAATGGAATAGACTAAAAGCTAAACGTACGTGATATCGGGAGAATCTGCACAACTGCTTTCAGGCGAATCGCAATATTCCAGATCTGGAAAGAGAAAATTACACATTTTCTTTTTTTGTTGCAGTTCAACCAAAAAAATTAATTAAATAGGAAAACGAATGATATAATAGAGGGGAAGACCTTTAGAATTCTTCGTAGTTAATTCTATTAATGAATAATATATTTTCCCATCAAGATAAAAATATAAATCAGTAAACTTTCTAGCTTTTTCAACCACTTCCAAGTACTTTTCGACACGAAGAATGTCCAATTTTTTATCCCGAAGCGCCATCTGTCGTCAAAATTTCAAGTTATTTTTTTACGTATAATTACTATCATTATAACAGTTACCTGCACAGCATCGCCCACGGTTAAAACTTCCTTCTTGTAATCTTTATGCTCGCTCTTTTCAGCTACACTGCTATACGCCTATAAATATACCCAGAGAAGATCGAAAAATCGTTAGGAAACAATAGAAAACTATATACTGTAGCAAGTTCCGTAAGTGCATTACACTCTTCTTCATTTAGAAGACCGTCTACTACAATATGATTTTCGCCTTTAAGCTCGTTGCCATTGGCGTAAATCGAGAGTCCGTGCCGTTTATTAAATGATGAAACTATTTCTTCTTCGCTCCTTTTCTTAAGAGTCTAAAAGCAAAAAAGCATCCCTTTTATTAACAGCGTCAGCGAGGATCTATAGTATTGAAGTTAGATTTTCCTTTACCCTTTATTATTATTATTATTGTTATTATTATATTTATTATTATATTTATATATCGTTTGCCTACTGTAGCTATAACCTTAATAGAAAATAAATTACCTGAGCTTCGATTTCTTTCAAGTGGAAAACTTGAGCTGCCTCTTCGTTGTCTCTTCTTGTCGTTTCGACATAGGCCTGCAAAGTAACAGTTTTTTTGCAATTTTTTTTTTGTTTTTTTGCTTTTTTTTACTTTGCACTCGACATGTAACAAAGCAAATAGAAACCGTTTAAGGAATTGGAAAAGAGAGGAACACTTTTAGCATTTCGATGCAACTTGTAAAAAAAACGGGTAATTATCACTGGAAAAATTCAGACAAAAGCCTGACACGTGTCAATTAAACAAACTCGGTCACTCTCACCAAACAATTATCACTTAATCAGTAACAATTATCGGCTTATGCCTGTAATCTTTCATCATTTGGGTACATTTTATTTTCTAAGGTAAGAGAATTCTGTGTACTATATTGGTTTGTCTCCCTCTGCCCCACTCTCTCACTCTTATCTATGTTTTTTCCTTACGAAAACTGTTAATCTTCAATTAAGCATATACGCAAATAAATTTTAGTACCTTTCGAGGAGATAGATCTTCTTGACCTAGGATCTGAAGATAGTATTTCAAATTAGACTTCTGCCTCTTGTCATCAGCCGTAAAGAGGAGATAAGTCAAGCTACATTCCGCCGCTTCCTTTATCTTTTTGACTATAAAAAAAAGAAAAGAAAACGAAATAAAAGAAGAAATAAGAGAATAATAAGCAGGTTGAACTTCAAAAAGCGAAATCTAATTAGGATAATGCCTTTTTCTTTCAGTCTCTCTTTGAAATTTTTACTAAGCCAGATGTAACGCTGCTTTAAAAAAACAATCTTTTTGAAAATTATGCCCGACAGGGCGTTGATATTTTTATCTGCTTATCGGAATGTGACTGACGATATGCCAAGGTAAAGGGGTTGAATTTTTTTTGTTATGTGCTACTTTCCCTCTTGCTTCTTTCTTGTCTGTAGACTCTTTCTTCAACTTCAAAAATGATAAGGTTGAGAAAACACTTTTTCGTTGAAGGAGAATGCTTTTGGGTGCAGGTTTCTTTGAGATGAGAGAAAGAAATCACTCAGTAAGCCTCTCTTCTACCTCCTTTAGTTCCGTCCTTAGGAACGTATCACTATGGCTAATAATGAGCTTTAGACGAAAAGTAAAGTACTCTAGAGGGGCTTATTCGCCAATACTAGGAATACTAAAAATAAATATCGAATAACAAGACTCAAGGGAAGAGTATTTAAATTCCATCCAGCGGCGTGCGACAGAACAGCTGTATTTAAAAACAGCCTACACCTGGACCAATCGAGACAAGAAATTTATCAAATTTTCAACGTTATCGTGAAAATCCCACGAGTAAATGGGTCGCCGACCCGAAAATGTGCGAGTAAGCGTGCGGAATCCTTAAAGAATGCCTTAACTAGGAGGAAAACATCTGCGCCGATTATTATATAAATACTAACCTTTATAATAAGCAAATTGTAAGTAATCGAATAAATCTCTGACGAAATTCTCTATAAAATATCCTTTGATTGTTTGTACTTTCCGTTTGCAATCGACCTTACATTTGATATTCTCAATTAGGCCTCCTGAAGTAAAAAGAAATATACTAAGTAAGTAAGTAAGTTAGTCAGTCAGTCAATGAATAAGCAAATAATGACTATGTGATAAACATAAAAGTTTCCCACTTTCCTCTTTTCTCCCTCATTATTTTCATACAAACTCCATAAAGATCAAATGAACGAAGAGAAAAGAATAAAGAGAAAGAAAACATACGAGCTTTAAAGACGATAAACATATGCTTTTATAAAATACAAACTTGTTATATTTGCTGAATTTTATCATTTACATAATTCTTGATGATTATTAACAAAGAAAGTTTAAATAGCTTTCATTTGTCCGACACTTCAGCGTAAAAACTACATTAATCATAGGAAGATAGTACGTGACCAGCTCATAAACGCACTCTAGGCCTAAAAATGTTTCCAAAACGATCGCTTCTGAATGAATTAGATTGGGCGGGAAAAACGACTGTATTTAGTTGTGCCAGGGCAGAGAGATTATAGATTCTATCGAATAAACTTTCTAATAATCTTATGCAATGAGTCTTAAAACTCGTAGGCCTGGAATTGGATCCTAAAGGCAAACAAATAATCAGCATCCTTCCTGGCTTTTAAACGGAACAGCATATCTCCCATTGCTTTTATATTTCTAATGTGTAAAGTCAACCTGAGTCGATTCTACAGGCATATTTCTCTTTTGATGTTTATTTTTTACAAGAGGTCGGAAGAGAAGGGAAAAAACCTTAAAGAGGAAAACCTATTTACTTGATAGAACATTATGGAGTGCTGTATCATTTTCAGCAAAGTTCAAGAGATCATAGTCGCAGAGAGATCTACACTTTTCAGTTTCCTCTTCTACTTCAGATAACGTTTCCTCGATCACATTAATAAGCTTCTTAAATTCCTCTTTTTGATATAAATCCAATATTTTATCCCACGACACCTGCAGCAGAAAAAAAATACAGCAAAATCAATCTTACAACTCTAATAATAAAGTCTAGGTAAACATTATGCTGGTTTACGCAACCTTATTCGATTATGGTTGGAATATCTTAAGGAAACGTAAAAATTCTTGCTAATTCTATTATAAAACGGTTCTTTCCCCTTCCATCATGGAAGAATGGTAAGAAGGAAAAGAAGAAATATAAGGCAGCATATAGAAACATATACATTAAAAATAAATCTTTACCTCCCTCCCTCCATCCGCCTTTTTCTACTTAAATCGCGTATGGAAAGATGAAATATAGGCCAAAACAATAAAGAGAAAAATATAATAGGAACGTGTAAATACAAAAATAAGGGAAAATTTGAACATGTCACGTTTATTATCTGATTATTTTGGATGAGAAAATACTCTCTATTGGGTTATATATCTTCGGCGTCATACGATAAAAAGTATACCAATAAATAAATAAATAACCGCAATATTTATCTCAAAAACATCAATCGCATCAATGTTGATTACACTAGGCCTATTTATATACAATAGACAAAATATGCAATGTCTACTAGTCGTTACTAAGTTTAACAGTTATCTATTAAAGAGTGTAGGGCGTAAAGTTTAAATTTAATTAATTATTAATCGATTTGCAGTTGATACACTCACCTCGTACGACTTTTCCAAATAATTAACAAACAAACTTTCGTCAAAGCCTTCTAAATCGCCAAATCGTTTAAGTTTATCGTTATTTAATTCTGGATTGCTTATATACAATGTATAAGCAGCATTTGCGGCAGCTTTTAAGTTACCGATCTAAAAAAAAACAGTCATTAAAGAACAATTTTACGCAATTATATCACCTCAAAAGCAGCAGCTAGTAAGTATTCATACGGTTCGAGTAACTTGAAAGCTTTGTCTACTTCATAATTACTGGGCGTCTGTTTTAGACGCTTAGATAAACAGCTTCTAATACAATGAGAATTTTCTATTAAATTCAAAATCAATTTGGATTCTTCAGTAGTTATATCTTGGTATGTTCCTCCTTTCTTACATAATTGAGAACAAGATACTTTAACCCTTCGAACGCTTTCGTATTCGTGTATTGAAGTTGACACGTAGTCGAATAAAGCCGGCCAATCTTTCTCTTCAAAAGCTACTTTCGCTTTTAAATAATAATCAATGTAATTCTTATCACTATCTCGAAGCTCGGCTTCCTGTTGATCCCCTCCACAAGCATTAATTAAGCAAACTATAATACTTATTATTGTAAATAGTTTAAAAGTTACGCATTGTGCAGCCGCCATATTTGATTAAAGAAAGAGTTTCGCATTGAAAATCATTAATAATTTCTTAGCAAACTAGTCTTTGGCTATTATTAACATATATTTAATGGTTTACCACTAAAAACAATTGAAAATAATCATTGATTCATTATCGTCTGGTATCCTGTCCACAATTAGAAATTTTTTTCACGTAAACTGGTAACCAGGTAATATGCTCCACCTCGTGGCGGGAAATAAATAGTTAGAGGACGCAGTTGAAGAGAAACGGCAGTGTAGCACGGATCTATACATTACATATATATATATATATAGTTATATATATATGTAAATATTTTTTTATTATATATATACTTCTACATTATTCTCAATATATCTCTTCGTTCTCTCTCTCTCTCTCTCTCTCGCTCACTCACTCATTGAAAGTCAAGAAGCTTAACAAGAAACCTCTATTTTGTTAGATATCTTTTATTTTTTATATATATAAAGGAGCATATAATTTTTTGCGGAAAGTTAAATAACGTGGAGAGCAGCATTCGAAGATGTTATGGACTGAATTATTATCTGCAATGCTCACTTTTTTTCTGTATATCGATACCGTTCAAAATCGTCAACTGGATTCGGTTTATTGGAACATGTCAAATCCTATGTGAGTATCTCATTTTCCTTAATTTTTTTCCGTCTTGAATATGATATGGTCCTGTAACGTTTTATATTTGAAAATGTCAATAAGTGCGAACCTGTAACACATTTTCCTCGCGGCATTAATATATTCCGTTTTAGGCTAAGACCATAGTGTAATTTGGTTAATTAGTCGCAAGACGTCGTCTTGGCCGAGACTTAGTTTTAATCGTTTGTCATGTCACGGTCGTCTTACTTGTATTTTTCTTCCCCTTTCTATTGCTTCTTCTTCTTCTCGTAGTTCTTTCTCTATTTTTGGTTGACTAAACTCAAAGAGTAAAAACAAAGTAGAAAAGAAGAGAAGAAGAAAAAAAGGCTAAGATGTTTGCCGACTCGTTTGTCATATCGCTATGTCTTTGTTCACGCCTTGTGGTTGTTTTCTTTATTTAAAAAAAAGGTTACTTTGTATTAATTACACTGCTAGGTTTTCCATAGCTCGGACAAACAATAACTAGGATAAAAAAGTAAACATGGTTTTTATTCCTTTAAATACGTAAACATAAGGGAAAAACAGAATTATTTTTATAGTCTTGCAATTTTACTTCAAAAATTTGATTAAGACTGGAATAGCTAATTAGTTCAACTGACGGTTTAATGACTGCTGTGGGTAGAAGAGTACATTTTCATCTGTTTAAGTGTTATTTTTTTCTCTCTATCCTTCTTTCTGCGTCCGTCTGTCTGACTGACCGTCTGTCTCTCTTACTGTCGCCTTGTATTCTTACTCTACACTTTGAATTGTGGGCGAGTCCAGAGGATTTCCTATTAGATTCAACATACGTATACATTTGTACATCAACAGATATGTTATCTAATCAAACCATAACCACTTAATTAACTGTCATCTTTTATGGAAGATAAGAAAATTTGCGTATAACGATTGATAATGAGTCTGCTTAACATCGTCATTCGCTCTTACAATAGTCGTTTGTCGTTTATCAACTCTTATCTCCTATTCTTAACAAAACAAAAGTCAGAAGAAGTTAAGACATGTTCCGGAAATTGTGGGCGTTTTCTTCTCTAAACGTTCCGTTTTTATTTAGATATAAAATGTGCAGGTAAAAAACTTTTTAAGAAAATATTTTTCAAACAACAAAGAGAATAAGATCGTAAAAAATCCTTAATGACACCGATAGCCTTTGTACTCATGCGAAAATTTACAAGTTGGAGCATAAAAGAAGCTTTTGTTGAAAGGGGCCGCTTAAACCGTTCTTTTAGGGGGGAGGGGAGGGGGTGAATAAAAGAGAGGGAGGGAGGGAGGAAGAATGAGCATAGAGGGGGGAGGGGGTTTCGAATTGAGAACATATACTGTATAAACTCAACTTTACAACTAGATCCTCCTTCTTACGTTTAGCTAATGGCGTTGAATTAAGTAATGAGAAATAAAATGTAAAGGGAAAAAAAACGTTAAAATTACTTCATCCCTTAGGGTATGATCTTGTTTTTTAAGATGAAGGGTAATTACCTAGTTTTTTCCCTGCTTAGTCAATTGGAATACTGAAATACTGTATGCAGTAGTATTTATTATGTTTAATTAGCTGGAATGACTGATATATAATGGGTCATTGTCTGTTTGACTGACATGGAGGAATATCCGATTCTTGGTCCCAAAAGGATTGCCCATGCGGGCTTCATTGGCGAAACTCTTTGTTAAATTCGTATTAGTTTGGAAAGATTTCCTTTAATCTAGTCAACTTACGAACTGATACAATGAAACGAGCTGAAAGAATGAAAGAATCTTATGAATAAAGGGATAGGGAAAAAAGTTACAGACTAGCTTTCTATATAAACATTAAAGAGTATGATAAATTACTTGCAGAAGAATCTGGATATTATCAGTTAAACAATTATCAGGTAATTTCATATTCCACCTTTGAAAGCCCAAAGGTGTTCGCCTGTCAAGGTCCTTTTGATAAAAGCTTACTGATTTAAAAACCTCTTTCCAGCTTCAAAAGGGATATAAGGCACATGCGTCCCAAAGGATTCGTTGAGCTGTTAGGTCTTTTAAGATATTCTATATATTCTACTGCATTTTGTATACTGAACGTGCTTCGTATAGCCTTTACATGACTAGATTAGCCGTTCAATACCTTGTTATGTAGCCGACACTCGTCGATTTGTCAATAATAATGCAACCTATCAGCATGGATTAGAACCCCTCCCATTATGTCATGCAATACTGTCCCTTGTGGGATTCAGTGTGAGTATCAATTGTTGAGTCCTACTCCATGCCTTTGTTAGGAAAAGGAAAGATGCGCTTGACGTTTAGAGGATCTCAACAAGGGGCGTAGTTTCTGCACTTTCAATTAGTCCGTCAACATGTGTTGCGGGACGAAGATGAATCGCTAAAGATTTCGTTTATCTATCATTTAACATAAAGCAAACGGGCCATACTTTGCCTTTCCTTATACCGATTTGTTTACATTCAAACTCTGGCTAGTGTCATCCGCTTAAAACAATACAAAAAGAGTCCTTTTCTCTACCCCCCGCCTTTCTCTTTCATTGCCCCCCTCCTCTCTGTCCTACCTCACTTCGCATACCTGGATACGCGCCTGACGTCATTGTAACGACGCTAAGCGTTTTTCTGGCGTCTGTTCGTTAGGCAAGGATTTTTGCTTCTATCTAGGCCATCTAAAAAAGTACTCGACATGCATAGAGTTTGCTATAACGAAATCAACCAGCAAATTGACCGCTATTATCTAGTTTGTACATTGATTATATTCGATATATGTAAATTAACATGTTTACAAAAAAGCGATGCGGAAAACTGGCTGCTTTGTAATTAGGAAAATTGAAGAGCTTTCTTTGAGATAAGCAGACCGTCGCTTGTATATGGAAAGCATTCGTGAAATTTTTCATTATATTTTCTCCCCTACTGCTCTAAACGCCTCTTCTACCGACAGCTAATTAGCAATCTTTATTATCACCATTTTCATTCACTCCTTTTATCTGCCTCAACGTCTATGATGAAGACTTTAAATTAATTACATCTTATAAGCGTTACTGATTATACAATAATACTACACAATACCAGAGCAGACACTCCAAGCACATCCTCTAGACATCTGTTCAAGCGAAAAAAGGATTTTTACCAGCACTTTCCTTTGATGGCACTGATTATGTTTGAATTTTTTTCCTCCTCCTTTATTTTCTTTTGCATTAGTCGGAAAATCTGTTCTAATCGAATTTTTATTTTTTTCTTCTCTCTCTCTCTCGCACTCTGTCTCTCTCTCACTCCCTCTTAATACCTATCCACGTGTCTCTTCAGAACAATCTTTCAAGTGTAAACGTTCCTTCGAGGAGGAGTCTCTGAGCTCCGACTTAAATCCCTAAAGTGCACAATAATGTCCCTACTAGGATTTTGGTAAGCAACTATAATATTGCCCGAATCAGGTGTCCTGCTACTAACAGGATTCCTTACATCTTCTTTTGCTTCTTACCTTACTTTTACTTACTCAATTTTCATTTCTTTCATTTGCCAAGCTTGAACAAGCGGCGTGAGAAAATCACGTGATAAAGGGCACAATATCATGACGGTTCAAAGTAACCTGTTGTTTTCTTTATTTGGTTGGAATTTTTGAGGAAATGGGCCAACTTTGCTTGTGTAAACCGATTAGAAAGATGAAATATTTAAGGCGTTTGTAATGAATTTCTTTTGCCTTTGTTTAACCTTTATGAATGTTTTTCCAAATCACAATGGGGCATGCTAAGACACTTCAGAAAGCCGCTTCCGGGCGTCTGTTCATCTAGAAAAGCATTTTCCATCCCTATCTATCCCATCAGCAAACGCTCGGAATCGTGTTTATCACGGATTTTCATCAACCTCCGAATGAACTCTGCCCGACCGTGATGCGTCGAGCCGGAGGCGTCTAAGGGCTAATTAAAAGCATCGAACGGAACCATTATCGATTCGAAAGCTATGTTCTAAATAATCTGACCAATTAATGATTGCGCAAGCAGGTGTGGCTTTGTTTACGGTTATGAGAAAAGAGACACGTGTTTGACATGAGAAAAGTATGCGATAGCCCAATATCGTGCAATGATTTTAATATTAAGCTCTCTTTCTCTCTTCCATTATAAAACATCCTATAAAGAGAAACAATGGCCAAGTGGAAATTTATTTGCTTTGTTTCAACTCTGCCAGTGAACCATTCGACTCGAGTGCGGACCTAATCGCTCGATAAAAACGTCAGCCATCTGTGCGACGCTTAAAAAACCGCCTTTCTCCACCTACTCGTAAAAGCGGCCCGGTAAGGGCCACATCACGTGGTGCGGATTGAAATCGGATTAAAACCCCGAATCGATATGTTTTATATGCTATGCGTCGTTTTGTATAGTTCTTTGTTTCAGCTGATGCGTTTAATTTCGTCTAAGTGGCTTTATTAGACGCCCAGAAAATATAGGGTTACATTAAATATGTGTGTAATTTGATACGGTCCGTCGAAATTGATTTCGTACGAATCGTTATGCAAGGCGTTCGTATAAAAAATTGTATTTTTA